TCTAAATAAGGCATTGAGCTTATTCAAGATTTGATGTCATGCTTTATGTCATATCATATCTCATCAAATTCAACTTGAGTTCATAAATGAAATGGGTGACTCATGCACTTACTTGGCTAATGGAGAAGAAGCATCTTCAAATTATCTCCTCTCGTGGCTAATCATATTTAGCCACATACCCCTAACTGTTTACCTTAGGTCACATAAAGCCTTCTCATTGGACCATTTGCATCCTATTACTTACTTAGGGGCCACATGAATCCATTTAATTGGAACAACAAGCCTCTCTTCCTATAGACCTCATAATTTTACCCTTGGTTAATTAAGCAACTCCATCAATTCACTTTTAAATATTCACCCTACCGAAGGGTAAGTCTTTAAAAACTTCAAAAGAGAGAACATTCCCTTCACTTGCTTCCAATTACATAATTTCCTTCTTGAATCCTTTGTCTTCTATACCCAGAGTAAAGACGTCAGCCCATACTTGCATTATTAAAGTCTCGATCTTAATTTCTCAGGTTTGAAAGAGGTAACCATTAAATTTCCAACTACTTTCCATAATTGAGTTTTGTCGTTTTTGAAATGAGAATTATTGATTCTCTATTTTGTTCATTTTTTCATTGAAGGAAGTTAAAGTTTTGGTCTTTTGTGCAAGTTATTTGAGGTAAGTGAAACTCTAGGAACTAAGTTTGGTTATTCTAATGAGTACTCTTGACTTGGTTGTTTTGATGGGTGTTAACTTTAAGTGAGTTTTAAGGTCATGTGTGAGTAAACTTTGGCAGTGGCATGTTGGGTTCATAACTTTTGTGAATTCTGATGGAGACATGTTGAGTTGTGTATTGATGAATATAATTGTTTTGTTAAGAATTATAAGTAAATTCCACGATGATTGGTGGTATTTTGGTGAAAAGTGTGTGAATTGGTAAAGAAATGAGAAAGTTGTCAACTTAAGAGGGAAATTTTTTATTCCAGCACGTAGTTATCGAATTTGGAGATATGCAGAATTTCAAAAAAACATCTTTTTACGTTTTTTCAGTTCTTTGGAATTATTTGTCTTTCAAGTGTTTGTTAAGTATCATTACTTAATAAAAGCATATTTGTTACATTTGAGATAAGTAGCTTATTACTATTTGTGTAAATAATGCATGTATAAGTGATGGGGTTCGCAATTCGGTGATGGTTAAGTGAAATGATGTGGTGCATAGAATGTTGATGTTGAATATGTTCATGTGCATTAATGCTGCATGATAACTTTGAATAATAAAAAGAAAGTGTTCCGTCGTCCACATGATGGTGGCAACAATGCCCTATGTGTTAGGATGCTCCAGGAGTGTTTGGGATGAGAAGTGAAGAAGATAATGCATGTCCATGAGTATATATATATACATGTTGATAAGGCACTAAATGATACCGACGCATCATGAGATTATATGCCATCCGTGTGCATTGAGTTGATACCATGCATTCATGTGAGACACTTGCAAAGAAGGTAAGGTGTGTGGTCACGCATTATTATATTGCCTTGAATGTTCATTGTTGTTTATGCTAGGGCGGGGGTGAAGGTGAACTCTTATTTTACACTTAGGGATTTCATTTACTAGGTCTTGGCTTTTTTCATTATTTTTCAAATATGTAGAATGGCCCTTCCACCGCCACAGCCACCGCCACCGCTATTCGGAGTTTCGATGCATGTTTATTATGTGTACGAAGATGTAGTGTTACTTGATTTAGTTTTAACTTATACAAAGTGTGCTACTACGGTATGAATCGACGTAGGACTTGCCGAGTGGGTTCCCCACCGGTATGTAGCCTAGTATGCGAGCTTCGATGGTGATTTGCTTGGACAGCTTAGAGGCTTCGATGGTCCTCCTGGTTATGTCGTGGACAAGCCGTCGATGGGTGAGGTTATCGATCCTTAAATATTAGTTCGGTGTTGTACATGTAGGCTATTGAGAGTAGGGGTATGGTAGTGGCCAGGTGATATCGACCCCTTTCTAAGTGTATTGTATTTTGATGTTTGTTCAGGAGTAATGATGTATAATTAATGTTATTAAAAATGATGCATATGTACATTATTAAGCTATTAAGATATTGATATGACATGTTATAATTATTTTGTCGTGCTTCCACATGTGAATAAATTAATAAGAAAGAAATTAAATATGACACGTGTAGATCGTGATGTTCTAGGGCGTCACAAAGTATGCCCTTGATTTTTTAACAAAAGTTGGGTTATTGGGATGTCATCCCTATGATACATCTATTGAGCTCAATAGATGGTGATCTCATTATTAGTGATTAGTGGGCAAGTTAATTTATTTGTCCCACATTCGACCTAATATTACTTTTGTTGTGAACCTAGTGAGTCAATTTATGCATGATCCATACTCCACTCATATGAATGATTTTCTCCGGATCCTTTGATATTTAAAGTCTGCTCCTGGAAATGGATTCTTATGTCTCCTCATGATAGCTTGAAAGTTGAAGCCTATACTGATGCTGATTGGGTTAAATCCCTTGACTCGAAGTCTATTTCTAGATATTGTACTTTCTTAGGAGTGAATTTTGTGACTTGGCGTAGCAAAAAGCAAAATGCAGTTGCTCGATCTAGTGCCGAAGCAGAGTTTCGTGCATTGGTGCAGGGGGTTTGTAAGTTGTTATGGCTTAAAGTATTAGTTGAAGATCTTGGTGTATTTGTTTTTGTTCCTATGATGCTATATTGTGATTATAAGGCCGCCATTAGTATTGCTCAATACAGCATAACCTACGAAACAAGTAGAGATTGATTGGCACTTTATCAAGGAGAAGTTGGAGAGTGATTTAATTTGCATGCCCTTTGTTTAGTCTGGTGATCAACTTGCTATTGTGTTCACTAAAGGATTACGGGCTAAATCATTTCATCCTGTTTTAGTTAAGTTGGGCATGCGTGATATTTATACTCCAACTTGAGAGGTAGTGTTGAGAGATTTGGCGACAATAAGGGTTCTATTGTAATTATTGCCTCTTGGCTTTATTATAACAGATAGCTTGGGGTTGCATCGCCCTAACCCCGTATTCGGTTCAATTTTTTGTCTGTCGGTAGTAAGATAGAGACCTTGCTTAGAAAGCTCGAGATTAAACTCAAGTCTAAAATTTCTTGCACCACTAAAACAAACGAAACAGGCAGCACATAAAGCAAAGACAACACTCTGGTGATCAATGTCAGATGTCACCCGGAGTTCCCCCAAACACTTCAGTAGGGTTGTGTTTGAGACAATCCCTCACTCTGTATAAAGGATCACGTGCCCCAGTGAAGTGGTCAGGGGAACTCCAGGGAACAGCTGACTCTTTTTTGCTCTTATTTCCTTCTTTCTTGTGCTTTTGCCCGGGCGTGGAGGGTGTCCTAAGTAAGAACTGCTAGTTATAACGATAACATATTTACTGGTAACTCCATGGAAAAAGAAGGTTGGGTTTGTGGAGGAACCTGGAAAAGAGGAGAAATTCATTGATTCTCAGTTGGCGAAAATGAACCTGGCCAGATTTGCTGGGTAGATTGATAAGGGAGGGAGGAATCACATCAAGTTGAATGTCCATAAGTTTTGTTGCTTTCCCCTTTTTTGGATGTGAAAGTTTTGTGTTCAGATTTCTAGCATTTAACATGCTGGGATTGCTTTCACTACTTCTGAATAAAGGATGGTTTGCTCTGGTAATGTGGCGGGGAATATGAGCGACTCAAATCCACATGTTTGGTGAATGACTAAGAAACAAGTTTTGGGGGGTAACTGCATGCTTTACATCAAAAGCCATGTGGGAGTTTTAAGTAATCTGATAACTTCACTTGTTTTCAGATGCTATGGTGATTAACCGTATGCAATGTCGTGTTTTAAGCGAGACGCCAATTACTCTAAAAGTCAATTACGACCCAAGTTATATTTCGATTTAGAAATTTTAGTCAGCCAAGAATTCCTGTGGTGCAAGGATAATATGCTTTTTGAGATAAGATTTAAACTTCTATGTGGCAAAGGCAAATCTCATGAAAAGCCTAAAAATGTAAGTGAAGATTCTGTCTACGCAAGGAATGATATGCTTTTTGGGTCCTGGACCATCTGATGTGATCAGATCCACGCAATTAACAGAAATGAATCCGGTCGTCTTCACCCATCAGATGAACAGCAAGAATATTATCTGATGGCATGCTACCACGAGCCCTTTTGCACCATACCAGCCTTGTCTTGCTTGCCTCACCCACTTCAGTCTTCTCTTCACCCGTAAAACTTGAGAGGGGTCTTTCATGCTTCATTAGGTATTGGAACTAAAAGGGGAAGTTACCGTGAAAATAAAGAAAATAACCACTTCAAAAGGAAACAGAAAGAGCTAGGACAAAAATCAGTAGAATTACGAATCCATCGATACAAATTATGACATCTCGTCGTAAAGGCTGTCTCGAGCACTGTAGAATTACAAATAATAGATACTATTTATATCAAATATTGCAGTTGAGGATGTCTCAAGCACTTTAAAGGATTTCTGACTTTGAATCAATAGAGATTTTCAGTTAAACTACTCACCGCATCTGAATATCTAGATCATACATTTATGTAGTAAGTCCAGCTTCCAGAACCCTCTCCTTTCAGGAATTTGGTGCTAGGTGAATTGGAATTTCAGTCACACTCCTTTAATCATCTAATGAAAAGTCGATTCTGAGGGCCGAGAAAGTGTGTGCTCGGTGACAGATGAAGCAGGCCGAGAAATGGGCAAAAATTCTTGCTAAACCGCGAATTAATCACCACATTGTCAGAAGACAAGGAAAAAGAGATTTGAAACTGACAGAGAAGGAAAAAGGAAAAGAATCGCATGGCACAATAATTCATGTCCATGCATTCCAGGGACTTCCATGTTGCGCAGAGGCACGTCTAGGTACATGGCAAGAGCCTTATCCTGACACACGATGTTCCTTCCTCAAGTGGAGCAGTTTCTATATATATAGAGCACTGCGTTGTTTCTTTTGCTCATCAACTCAAGGCAGATAAGACACACACCAGAAAAGGAGAGGAACATTACGAATCGGGTGCCCCCCAGAGTTCTCCTGAACACTTCAATGGGACTTTCTTTGCAAGCACTTCCCAATGAAGTGTTTGGGGGAACTCCTGGTGTCGCTTGATGCTATGGCCGGAATTCAACACAACACCATAAACTCTTTTGAGGGAGTGTGTACACTGTACACTCATATCGCTGCTACATCAGACTTATCATCCTTTGATGTTCGGTGGCTTTCCCCTTAATGCTTTTCAAAGTTTCTCTCGTTCTGTTGGCGATACAGCTAATGAGCTATGTCACACAGGCTGCTCTCATAAGTTTTTTCATTGGATTCTGCAGGGTAAAAACTTCAGGATCTTCCATTGAAGTATAACAGCGACAATAAGGAGGAGGCCAACAGCATCCAAAATAATCGAGAGACTGATATGGTTCTATTTTTCATTCAGTTAGTCGGTGTTCAAGTTCCTCATTCCTCGGGATTCCAGTTGCTGGAGGAGACTCTTTCCATGGAGAACGTGTTGAACTGAATCTGAACCGTTTCAATTGTACTTCATTCACAAACGAACTGGGAGAGTCAGAAGAGCGTTCGATTTTCATTTCATTGCTAACCCCATCCCGCCAACCCCCCCCCCCCCCCCCCCGTTTGAAATTGTGAACATTGAAAGCTGACGAAGACATTGAGAATCTTGAAAGCTGATGAACTGATGTTCACTGGTCTAACAATTGCTACTTTGGGAGGTCTTCGCAGCCTGCTTGCGACAGAAGAATCACAACATAATAATGGTTAGAAAGAACTGACTCACCAGGCGACCCAGACTTCTCTCGTTTGCATCTTGTTCTTTTAACCGTTCCGGTCGTGCAACTGTTTGATATTTTCTGGAATGTACATTGACCGGTGACCTCAGGCGAAAATCTTCGGGATGTGCCAAGAAAGAGGAGAAAATGGCCCTAAAGGACAAATTTCAATCTTAGGATACCACTCTCTTTCTGAGCGATTCTCCAACTGATAGGGCGAAAACTCTCCAACTGATGCAGCGAAAAATCCACAGGTGCAGATCTGAAGCACATCAAGTGTGGCTGACACTCTTCTGTTCGTTTTAATGCGCACTCGTTTGCCTGCGCAAGCGTGTGTACGCGTGCGCTAGAGAGAGTGAGAGAGGGAGAAAATCACAAGCATCAATTACTGAAACCAGCCACCAAGCCCAGCGAAAGAAAAATGAAGCTCATGGAGTGACAGAAGATACATCGTTGATCAGCACAGTTTAACTGACGATGCAAAAATTTCGTCAAACACGTTATGCTCGTATAGCACACCAATCAAAACCACATTACGTATGTGGAACAAACCACTATACAAACACAAGGCCTTCGTCCTCCTCATCGAACATGCGCCGAATGCCTGTGAGACTGCAATGGCGACACGCTCGGTGTCGAATTAAGTGGAGACCGCTGCTGTCTCAGAGGGGATTTTGGCGGTGTGGCCGAAGCAGTGTGATGGTCAGACGGGTTGTGCTTGGCTCCGCTTTTGGGAGACTCGAGCTGTTCGAGGCTTGCCAAAACCTCGGACATCTTAGGCCTGGCTTTGCCATCGCTGTTCAGGCACTGTAAAGCGAGTGATGCAGCTGTACATGCTCCTTTCTGGGGATATTGGCCCTCCAATTTGGTGTCCATTACCCGAAACAGTTTCCTTTTGTCACCCAAATAGGGTCTTGCCCAATCCACCAGATTTTGCTCCACCCCGACTTTCGATTTGTCAACTGCACGCCTGCCGGACAACAGTTCTAGCAACACAACCCCAAAGCTGTAGACATCGCTCTTAGCAGTCAACCGTCCTGTGCAGCATTAAAACTTTTAGTACGGAAAAGATTTCAAATTTCAAAATAAGGTCAATTAAAGGGCCAGACTGCACTCGAAAAGATATCCGTATGATTGATGGTGATCGATACTGGATACCAAGGTTCTAAAAATACGCAAGGCTTCACTAAGACAATAGTTGTTTATGCCAGTAATACTGCTACGAACGATAGTAAGGTTGAAATGATTCCACATTCATCATTTAAGAAGTATCTCCAAGGCTGTTCTTAAGATTTTTGCGGTTCAAAATCGGCAGAGCAGGTAGGCGAGAAAAATAAGTGAGCTATTGAGCCTTCATAAATATGTAAATTGCAAGTCAAGCACCAACACTAGCAATCACGTACCAGTAGCAACATATTCAGGTGCTGCATACCCGTGAGTACCCATGACTTGGGTAGACACATGAGTCCTGTCACCAGTTGGCCCTGCCTTAGCCAATCCAAAATCGGAGAGTTTTGCATTGTATTCCTGCATCCCAAATGCACAGAAAACGTCAGTAACTCGAGGGGGTTAGAAGAAATACTAAAAATGCAACTCTTTGTCCCAGCATACCGCATCAAGAAGGATATTTGAGGCTTTGAAGTCACGGTATATTACGGGAGATTTGGCATCGTGTAGAAAAGAGAGCCCACGGGCAGCACCCACAGCCACTTTGATTCTTATTGCCCAAGAAAGAGGCTGTGGCCCTCCTGCAAAATATACAACAGATAAATGTTAACCACCTTTTCAGAGGCAACATTAAAAAGATTGATATGTCCAGACGTTACTGTAGTGTGCTTATGCAGGAGGAGGAGAGGTAGGATACGGTAAAGGAATAATGACTTGAAAACAGGAGGAGTTTTGCCCACCGCGAGTTCTACATATGTTTGATTAAACTGGTTCAAAAGACAAATTTGGCTGCCAGAGAAAGAGGACATGCACCCATAAAAGAAAATTAGAGAAAAGAGATGCACTTTATCTACGAAAATTTCCTGAATATTTTGTTTTAGTTCACAAATAATCCAGCGTTTTCCACATAAACTGCAATGGAGCAGTCCAAACGTCAAAGAGCATGTCCTACATTTGAGTTTTAACTTCCAAAGATGTAAGATATATAGCACTTGAGAAATGCCAAAACCTTGAAACTATTAATGGCGCATTGTCAACTTACTCCTGAAAAGATGGTTCTCCAAGCTCCCCTTGGGCATAAATTCATAGACCAACAGTCGATTTTCACCTTCCACACAGTATCCAATTAATTTGACCAGATTTGGATGATGGAGTTGGCCAAGGTAATCAACTTCTGTCTGAAAGTGATTGCAGTTAGTAGACAGGCCAGGTAATAGATCAACACTACGAGCTGTGAAAGAGGAAAAAAGAAGCAGATGATAGCAGACAAAACATACCAACCACTCCTTGTGGCCTTGAAAACCCTCAGGCTTAAGTTTTTTGACCGCCACAACCATTCCTGATCCAGGTTTTGCAGCGGCAAAAGTGAGTTCATCGATCCATCCTTTGAAGACATACCCAAATCCCCCTTCGCCAAGAAGGCTATCCGGACGGAAGTTCCTAGTGGCATTCCGCAGCTCATTGAATGAGAATGCTTTCAAATTTGGAGAGGACAGAATCTCTCCTTCCGACCTTGGTGTCGGAAGACTTGAAGTTGAAGCATAACTCCTGTCACCGCCGGATAGTGTGGTCACGCTTGAGTGAGGTGAATAACGGCTGGTTTTGCTGGAATTTTTCGAGACTCCTGATTCAGGGAAAAAAAAAACCTAATTATTGCACAAATTCAATCTCAAAAAACTCATTCGTTTTCTGCCCAAACTTCATCAGGACAGAAAGAATGTCTAGTTGACCACCAATATCACAAGATTCTAACAAAACTGATGATCTTCCCTTTTTCGTTAACACACATGACATCAGAGAAAAGAGAAGCCGACTTACAAAGCCCAACGACCAAAAAAGATGAGTCTCTCCTAGCAGCCCGAGTCTCGCAGTCATAGTTACTGGTTCAATGTGAGGCATCACATTGGATCCTAATCTCTTATCTCAAACGTCTGAACTCTCGAGTAAAAAAATTCAGAGTCATAGATACTAACTCTCTGCAATACTTGCGTGCGAGACACCCTCTGTTCAACCCCATGATCCCCATCAAAGTACAAAATAATTAATTCACAGGACCCCATTTAAACCAAATCCAAGACCAATCAAGACCAACAAGCTAAACCCAAAACTAGCTCAAGAACGAAAGAGCCACAACTCTCACCCACTCTACCCCCAACACAGTGATCACACCAAAGCTGTTGCATCAAAATTCAAAAGGAAACGAGACGAATCAGCACAAAGACCCGACCCCTCGAAAACCCACCAAAACCTTAGCTCATGAAACAAAAATTCAAAGAAGGAATTCATCGATACCCTTTAAAAAGACAGGACATATATAAAGAAACAGAGAGAAAAATTCTATAATAACAGCAGCAGTAGTAGGTACTTATGATCTACGATATCATTTCCATTACCAAAAGTGGAACGGGAGCTCTGGGTAGCTTCTACTTTAGCAGAGGAACGTAAGCAATTGCCCATATGAACGCTTCGCAAAGAGAGAGACAGAGAGAGGGAGACCCCTTCAAGAATTCAGCGAAACCCGCTGCCCCTGCACCCTTTTATTTTTATTCTTTTCAAATAGAAGGGAAAAAAAATCTCAAAGGGAAATGATTCAACGGGGTAGGAGGCTAATGATAAGCAGGAGGGAAGAAGGTCGGACGGGTGGAGGAAGACTTTCCGTGCAAAGCAGCGATTCTTAGCTCGAGGGACGAAGGGGGAGAAAAACAACAGAAACCGACGGAAAGTCGGGGGAAGTGAGGGAACCAGGAATGGCAATGTGAACGTGTGATGATGATGATGATATGGAAGGAGGAGGAGGAGAAGGAGAAGAAGCTAAAGTAGAAAGAGCATGTGGAGAGATAGAGAGAGAGAGAGAGAGAGAAGGAGGGAGGGAGGGAGCGCGTGTGAACGCGACAGGCGCATGGGAGGACTTTTGGTCGCCTCCGATGACGTGTCCGCCACGGCTGTCGACGGCGGGGGCCCGCAGAGTTACGGAAATGCCACTCTCCGGGCTCCGGCCGCGGAGGGCGTGCGGATTGACCGGAATGTCCCTGATCCCCATTTGCTCACTGATTACGCATTCCGGCAAGCGAGAGAGAGAAGGGATTCGTGCTAATTCCAACACCATTCACGCACGCCAAAGATGGCTAAGCGACTTTTCTTTTCTTTTTTTAAAATCAAGCATTTGTCCCGACTTATCATCCGATATACAAGGCGATTAACATTCGAGATTAACGGAAAATGTAGAGATGTATTGATATGGGTGATTGCCACGGGTGATGAATTATTAGTCATGTACCGCATCACCAACCGATGAAATGACGCATTTTAAGATGTACAAGATTTCGTCAGATCGGCCGATATCTCTCTACTTTAACTGACATCGCACTTGAAATTATAAATTCCCTCGATTTCATTCGGTTCTCTCTCGACACGTCGAAAGTATGTTTTGTCTCCCGATTGATTATCGAAAACGGACTTCTAATGTCCGATGGAATCTCGAGAGGTGATTTTACTCTTCAATAATTTCTATTTGGTTTGAAATGTTGGAAAGTTGATGAAGCCTGATTTAATCTATTTCCCAAGTGCGCCTCTTCTTCCCACAGACCGGAGGGCCGTTCAGGTCAGTCTCGTTGATAGAGTTTCTAGTAAGAATTAATGACTTTGATTCTAGAGATTGTAGTGGGATTAGTCCTCCTCTTATGCTCAAAATACCATGTACCGAAGAATAATTATTTGTCTAGGAAAGAAAAAAAAAGGATTGCGTATTATAAGGAGGAAAACTACCTCGGTAAATATAAAAATATTATCAATTGTGGAATTATCAGGTCGACATTCACGTGCGCATGATCACCTCCGTATAATATATATGATTTCTCTGCCATCGCGAATGCGAGGAGGTGGAGGGGTAATTCGGGCAATTGGGAAGGAGACGTCGCGCTTGGGTAGGCGGAAGCAGGGTCGGCTAGCCCAGGCCCCCAATCGGGAAAAACGCGCCAAGGACCCGCCACCGAACCCGACTCCGAATCCGAATCCGAAGACGCACCCGCATTGTGTCATCCCCCCCCTCAACGTGATGCACCGCGAGACCGACACGTGTCTCCCCGTGCAACCGGGAAGCTTTCTTCTTTACGCTCTCTTTTCTTTTTTTTTTCCTTAATTTGACCGAAAAAGGACAGTGGGTGGAGGGGTTTTACACGAGCGGGTCCCTCCCCGCCATGCAAACACCACAATGAACAGATGAAACACCCATCGTTCCCAGGTCCCAAACCAATGTATTTCTATTGTTCTCGTCCCTTTCTAGTATTGACAGAGAGAAAGAGAGATTTTTCTTTTTTGAAATAAATATCGCCACCAAAATACCGCACCCGCTACGTACTGCTCGAACCGACTCGTATTCTACGGGTGGCGAGTCCGTTGTCATCGCGGCCCGACTGATATGTGAACCGCACGAGATCGAAACCCGCGACCTCCCGAAAGGAAAAAGGATGCGATTCCCTTTATCACTTGGCAGGCCACATTGGCGCTGTTGGATTCCCTCTTCGAGTTAGATACTGGAGGAACAGCTTATGTACATGGGTTTTGCCTAATTAGTTTAGTGGGCACTAATTCCCCTTTTTGACCAAAGAATAAAGCAAATGGACCACGCTAAGAGAACCCAATTCCATCCATAAACAGATGTGCGATAACGAGTGTTTGGTGCGTTTTGAGTCTGGGAAAGCAATTTTCCAAAAGAGCATCCTTTTCCAGATTCGTTCATGTTGGGTATGAAATGGATGGAATGCTTCTACATTTTTTGGTCCTTATGAAAAATCTCTTTTTTGGGTCTAGCAGAAACCTAAGCCGTAAAAGGAACGACCCCGATGACCCAAATCTTTCCTCGTCAAGCTCCTTCTGCAATCGTCTCCAGGTCGAGCTTTCAACCACTCGAATTCGAGACCCCGTCCCCCACGAGTCGCTCCCGTTCGGACCGCAACCGTACTTTGCCCCCCCCCAACTGGCGAAAGACGCCTCGATCAATGGATGCGTGCCGTCGACGTACCGGCGAATCGAAGGAACATGGAAATGAATGGCGCGACGACAACAAGAGCTGAAGCTGTCAATGATGGTAACAGGGGTGGGTCTGGACGGGGGAGGGTGGACGAATTTAGTCAAGACGGAGACATCATGCAAGTGTGAAAGGATTGAGGAAGGACCCAAGACACGTAAAAGTCCGGAGAGACCGAGTGACCTTATCGATGTCCATGAATTTACCATCTAATCTAAAGGACCCAACACCAAAAGCTTTTTTCCTGAAGATTCGGAATCATTGCAAAAGCTGAGAAAATTGGCCATTATCGTTGACTTGGCCCCATCAAAGGTTGACCCGGTCTTATTTTGTGGGGCAAGAAATTGCAACCGGAGGCTCTTCTTCTGGGGGGATAATATATTTGTTTCTCCTTTCGGGTCAAAAGGTCATTATATTCCATGCTGTAATTTAATACATTAAAGTTGAACTGACGTGACATTACTTGGTAGTTTTATGTACCTCTTTCTCTTCCTCATCTAACTACTCGATTTTAGTCCCTCGCGGCCACCGTCAGCCGCCGATGTTGCCGGTGAAGTGGCCAAAATCATCTCTTTCTTCACTTTGGCATCGCCGCCAAATGCATGCCATCTCCGTTCAGCATCTCTCGCTCCTTCCCCTCCCTCCTATTCAGTACTCAATCATCTTTGTCCGTCGATTAAGGGCTCATCAAGTACTGATTCTACTCGACCCAAAAAAAAAAGTACTAATTCTACGACACTCATCTCCCTCAAGGTTCAGTCATGCGATGGAGAGAGAGAGAGAGAGAGAGAGAGAGAGAGAGAGAGAGAGAGAGAGAGAGAGAGAGAGAGAGAGAGAGAGAGAGTAGAAGGTCTACGAGTGAGATCGAGTGCCGATGAATAACCTAGAACTCACCAAAGCCAAAGTTCCCCTATAGGAATCAATATGCACCACAGGTTCAGGTTAAGGTGACCAGGTTTGATACCTGGCCCTCCGATGCTTAAGTTAGTTCATGTGAAAGGGAAATTGATGATATTTATGCATAAAAAAAATAGGATTAGTTGGAATTTCCTAAGTGAGTGTTTTTTTTATATATGTATAACCCGAGTTGTTCGTGATTGACAATCTGCGGTTTTGGGTGACAATTTGCAATCTGCATGGATAAAAGGCTCGTTACTGAAAACGCTTGTCACTCCGACAATATATAATCTACAATGGTCTTAGAATCGATGGTGATCAAACCGATCTGAGAACCAATGCACGCTAGGACTTGTAGTGAGTGGAGGCGTTGTTATGACTGTCAATTAGACAAGGTGTAAGTAATGTATAATCTTAGATTTAGTACCATGGAGCGTGCTCGGCTTCTCAAGGGCTTGGTCCTGTAACTTCGACACTCGGGGTTTTTCGATAACTCACTCAAAAAAATCCTTCATCATCGAGAATGACACGGCAGCGGTGATCGGAGGCACATAGGCTAGAGGGAGATGGCGAGCTTGCATCCCCTAACACATTAATATGGATGTGAGTAACAGTTAGTGGTGGAGTTGGATTTTGGCCGATGCGTCCAAATCTCATAAAGGGCTACAAATTTTACCCGACATAGTTGCCTCTCTTATATCTTCAAGGATCTCCATTCTCGGGAAAACTATCTGCAATGATGATGTCATGGATAAAAAAAACGAGTGGATCTGGATTTGTGAAGGTGCCCCTTTGGGCTGTTCGGATGGTGATGTCTCCCCGCATAATCCACTCTCGAGTTATGAGTGGCCTAGAATTCATCATATCGATGGAAAAACTGCACTGGAAATTTGTACCGGTCGTGTCTGATCACTATGTGATGTTGTTGCGGTGTACTATGCATGTGGTTTAGCTCGATTGCAATGTTACCCCAGAATTCATCTGATATATAACCTCTTATCTTTTCCCCGAACGTGAGACATGGAAGGGACATGCAAATTTGGAGCAAAAGGATAAGGACGATTGTAGAGAAATTGGTCAGTCAAGTCTACGAGTACGTTGAAAAGTCTCTCTTCTCTCTTCTCTCCATCGTCTTCTACGACCTTTAGTAACGGGAAGCTGGTCTTACCCTCCCTTCCCTTGTATTTTATTAATTTTTTCTTCTCTCCAGATTTAAACCCGAGAGCTCTCTTTTTCCGATTTAGTTTTAGATTAAGAGTTTGAACTCTCCTAATCTAGGTATGGGAGTTTAATAATATGCTTTTTGGGATTCGATACCCTCTGCTCTGTCCCTGTATAGGTTCTCTGTCTCTAGCTTCAATAGTGATCACAGAAGCTCTAACTTCTCGTTAAACCACGAAGATTTGCTCTTCCAAATATTAGATATGTGTTTGCTCAACCTATTTTGGTTGTTTCCTTGCAGCGACAGTGTAGAGGAAATCGAACTTAGCCTCGCACATCAACATGATAACTACTATATTTGACATGTACTAATCACTGACGAAGATATGAGATCCAGTATCCGGCCGCCAATTATTTTGCTTTACATATCTGTTCATGTGGAACGAGTGTGTGCTTAATTCTGCTTGTGCTCCGTTGATCCTCATTGTTTTTTGAATTTGGCTTTGTTTTGTAGTATTTTGAGCTTTTTTTTTTTTAGTCGACAGTATTTTGAGCTTTACTTTGTTTTGATGTGCTTTGAGGATGTTTTTGTGGCGGTTCCATGGTGACTATATACCATGAAGCTTCTCTTGTTTCCTATCTCCCATTTTCTCTAGGAAAAAAGACCTGGTGAAGGTTGACCAAATAGCGTGTGCCTTCTATTTTTATGGAGGTTTTTGGTTG